GATAAACCAGTCAAACCAGATGATCGAACTGTGATCGTTGTAGAGGATGACACACAAACTCTGTTGATTAAACATCCAACACCCGAGGACAAGGGGACTTACAAGTGCACCGCAGTTAATGAAGTTGGAAAGTCAGTGCGAAGTTTCGAAGTAGATATTGAAAAGCCAGACAAAAAAGAACCTACTAGCGAAGTTGGTCAGCCGATATCATTTGTTATTCCTGAAAAGATTAAACCAGTGGAAATCTCAGAAACGAAAGCAGTACCGAAAGATGAGACTCCCGTAGTCCGTGTTGGCGAACCAGTGTCGTTTGCTCTTCCAAAGGATGAAAAGCCAACTCAAGTTTCCCAAAAGCTCAAAAAAGATCAAAAGCGTCCGACGCCAGTGGAAATCTCCGAAAAGAAAGCARTACCAAAAGATGAAACTGCTGTTCCTATAAAACCACTGGAAGGTAGATTTGTTTGGTTTGTTTGTGGCATGCTAGTCTGTGATGCATCGTTTATGTACTTGTATAACTTTTATTTGTTTTCTCAACAAAACATATTTTGAGGCAAAAGGTTACTGCCGAATGACTTGAGATTAATATATCCTAATTACACCTACTTGCGAAAACGTTGTCATAAAAAATAGGACATTTGTATTTTAGTAAAAAGGAATAAATTAAAAAGACAAAAKAAGATYRCTGAGGCTGAACGCTTTCTTTTGTTTTGTTTTAATTTATTCCTTTTTACTAAATTCGAATGTTCTATTTTCTATGACAACGTTTCTGCAAGTAGGTGTATTTTCATTTGCAATCTTGAAAGTTAGATTTGACTTTTCATTGTTTCAAGAGAAAGCTTTTACTATCCTTACGCGCTGCTTATTTTCTGATCAGTGAAGCTGCTCCTTTTTTTTGGCATAACTCGTCTGCCTTCTTTCGAAATTTGAAATGATTTTGTAGAAGAAATTATAGTTTGATATTATATATTTTGATTAGTTTAGGTTTTTTAGTTACATGGCATTATCTTTTGATGTATCGAGTTTAGTTTTAGTTACATAGAAACTGCTATCAACTTAGTTATTGCTCAAAGATTAGAGTGAACGTCACATAAGCATGAAACAATTCTTAATATGTATTGCTAAATAAGATTTAGTTATCAAGTAACTAAGAATTCAACAAAGCATAAACACATTGCCAATTATTTAAATTCCTTTGTAGCATTGTTCTCAATTCTTAGGTAGTTGATAACTAAATCTTATTTAGCACTACATAGTTAAGAATTGTTTCATGCTTATGTGAATTGCTCTCTATACACATTAAATCATGACATTAAATAATATTGAAGCGCTTGCTTTAGAATTAATTATTGTTCAATTTAGAATATGGATAACACTTTGTCATTCATTTAAAGGTGGTCAATCCGCTCCAAAAATAACAGAATCCTTAAAAGAATTAGAGGTAGTTGAAGGCTCCTCGATCACTATAGAATGTACGTCAGTCGGGTCTGAAAATGCTTCAGTCATTTGGTTCAAGGATGATGAGCCTGTTGAAGATGGCCCGCGAATAGTAACCGCTTTCGATGATGGCATATGCTCTTTGAGAATTACTAAAGTTACCTTGGATGATGAAGCTGATTATAGATGCGAAATAACTAATGACCAGGGTACAGCAACAATGACAACTGAACTTATTGTGGAAGAGTGCGTTTCGATGCCAATTTTCTCAGAGCCATTGAAATCGCAAGAAATCGTTGAGCAATCTATTATTCGTTTTGATGTTCGTGTGACTGGTTATCCACAACCAGTAGTCGAATGGTTTAAGGATGGCAAACAACTGGAGGACAAGGGCCGAACTATTATCATCGATGATGTTGATGACAAAGAACCTGAGTTGTTCTCTCTGGTAGTCGAGGATTGCAAGCCTAGCGACTCTGGCGAATATAAATGCGTTGCTATGAACGAGGCCGGTAAATCTGCTTGTACATGTGTGTTATCGGTTTTGCCTTTAGAGGAACGCCAAGCAGAGCCGGATGAGACTCCAGTTGAAATCACAGAGGGCCAAGACCTGACTTTGAAGGTAGAGATAAGTGGTGTATCAAAACCTGACGTAGAATGGTATAAAGACGATAAACGAATTACCAAGAAAGATACATATAAGATCGATGATAATGGTAGTGAGCATTTATTGACAATCAAGGACGCTACACTTGATGATGAAGGTGTGTACAAATGCCTATCAAAAACCAAAGACGAAACTCTAACACGAAGTTTTAGAGTCACTGTAGAAGGTAAGATCGTATTTTTCTCGTCACAAATGTTTTCTTAAAAAGTTATCTGATCAGCTGTTTCTTTAGAAAAACCCGAAGGTTCTGCGCCTGAATTTGTCCAACCACTAAAGGTTTTGGAATTGATCGAAGGAGAGTCTGCTCGTTTAGAGTGTCGCGTGACAGGAATGCCTCTACCTAACATTACGTGGCTCAAAGATGACAAAGTACTGGTTGACAGTAAAAAAGTGAAGACTGGTGTTGAAGGAGAACTATGCTTCTTGGAGATTCCTGAAACAGTTCTGGACGATGAAGGAGAGTACAAGTGTGAAGCAAGAAATGATTTTGGGAAAGCTACTACTATGTCTGAGTTATTGGTTAATGAAATTCCTGAAGAGCAAATACCTCCAACATTTAACCCACATGTTGGGCAAGGTCCTCTGGAGCTTACAGAAACCGGTGACTTGACGCTTGAGGTGGAAGTGGCTGGGAAACCAGAACCAACTGTGCAATGGTATAAAGACAATAAACCAGTTCAAAAATCTGAGAAGTACGTCGTAGATGTGAAAGAAGACACTCACAGGCTAACGATAAAAGATGTAGGTCCTGATGATACCGGCGCATATGTAGTAAAGGCCACTAATCCCGCTGGAACAAACACTAGAACTTTCAATGTCGACGTTTCAGGTAGATTAATTACGTCACAACCTGTATATTAATTACGTCTTAACCTGTATAAAATAGGCCTTTTTCCGTTCAAAGCGATTGACCGCTTTTTTAGTTGACGACAGTGTCTCTAGTAGCGAGACCTAACCAAAAACAAACGAAAGCGCGAAAAAATGTTGTCATTACAATAGCTCCTAAAATTTGCATTCTCTCTTATTTGAGGTTATGCCTGTATTGCTAAATCTCTAGGTCTTGTGGGAATACAGGCGTGACCTCAAATCAGAGAAGATTCAAATTTCTAGTGCTATTGAAATGTCAGCATTTGTTCGGGAATAAGGCGTATAATGTATATAAAGAATTAAATCTTCGTCTCGTCAGGTTTGCAGCCCGAAGGTAAAGCGCCAGAATTCACTGAAACATTGAAGGCTCTTGATCTAATTGAGGGGACCAAATTTGAGCAAAAAGTACAATACAGTGGCCAACCTAAACCGACAGTAGAATGGTTTAAAAACGATAAAACTGTCAACGAGGATAGTCGTGTACAGATACTCAACAAAAGCGATGATACCAGTACTTTGGTCATCAACAGTGTTGTTCTTGATGATGAAGCTTCTTACAAGTGTGTTCTTACAAATACCTTTGGAAAAACTGTATCTGAAGCTGAAATTGTTGTCTTGACAGGTAATTTCTGTTTTCGAAGTAATCTTAAGTCCCTTCTAAGTTATTGCATTTTGTATCGTTTTAACATTTCACTAAGAAGCAATAGAAAAGAGAGACAAAAGCGCATTAGAATGAAATATGACGTTACAATTCATAAGCATTCTTGGTGATTTATTGTGATTGATTACACGTTATCGGTGTCAGTCGGATTCTRACGTTATCATTCGGTATTCCTAATTATGCACATAACTAAATAAAAGACAACAAAAGGTATTGTTCTTGTAATAGCCTTGCCTTGATAGAGTCTGTTCAATCACTGAGATATTGCGCAGTGACTATTATTAGCGACACTTAATATATCAAACAGTCAAATCACAAAAACTCTGCTTGCTGTATTTTTAGTGTCTGAGGCAGAAGAAGAAGGTCTAACAGTGAGGTACAGTATTTTAGAATTTCATATAAACACAAATGACCTTTGAAGTTTCATTCATTACAATAATTATTGCTAACGTTACATCAAACTATGAATTCTAGCGCTCCAGGAAAGCCTGAAACGACAGACGTTGTGATTTCAAAGGAAAAAGGTCAACACGCCCCTGTTCAGCTATCCATAGATCTCGACAAGGATGCTCCTATCAAGGTCCAGATGGATGTTCCTGTAGAAAAACAACCTGAGATTTCAGAATTTGTCCTGTCAAAACCGAAAGAAGAATATTCTCCCGTTCAATTTTCCATTGATGTCGACAAAGACAAGCCGAAGGAGAGGCCAATCGAACATGAGATTTATACTCCAGTGGAAAAAGAGACAGAAAGTACATCTGTTGTACTTCCGATGGGAAAAGAAAAATTTGCACCGATCGAGATTGCATTAGATGTCGATGAAATAAAACCAAGGGAAGAAGAAAGAATTGAATTTCAAGTAGATGTTCCTGTCGAAAAGCAACCTTCGATTTCTAAAGTCGAACTTCCGAAGGATGAGAATAAATTTGCTCCCATTGAACTCGCTATAGACTTAGAAAAAGACAAGCCAAGATTGGTATCAGATGCAACTATACCTGCCGGTAAAGAACCATTTAAACCTGTTGAGCTGTCTCTTGGACTTGGACCAACCGAGAAGGATGTTAGCATTGCAACGATAGATGTTAAAGACGAGCGAAAACCTGTTGAAATTTCTATTGGTACGCTTGAATCGATAACTGAATGAATACGTTTACGAGACAATGTAGATGAATATATTTCATTATTGACTTACCTATCAACTGAAATCAATTCTCTTTTAATTTTAGACAAACAAGGAACTCCTTCAACGAAACTGAAATCTCCACAGATTACACGGGAACTGGAAGAAATTGAAGTCGATGAAGGCAAACCAGCTGAAATGTATGTACAGTTTGTAAGCGATGGCGAGACAGCGGTTAATTGGATGAAAGATGGACATCCAATAACGCAAGACAAACGAATAACAATAGATACAGACAAAACGAGTAGCAAACTGAGAATAGCAGAAACAGATGTCGACGAAGATGAAGGGCTTTACATTTGTTACATTACCAATGAAGCTGGTGAAGTCAATACCTCGGCGGAGTTGCTTGTGGAAGGTATGTTTACACATGCATCCTTCAACTTGATTTCATTGTGTGTTAATTGTATTTTGTAACCTTTCCATCTACAGAAGCTGGTGTCGAGGACGTGCCGAAAGAGTGAGTTAATAATTTATTATAATTCATATTGTATTATTATATCATTGAATTTATTATAATTTATAATTTAGTAAAAAGAATGTGACTGACTTAATTAATGCATGAAATATCTTATCAAGGAAAGCTACCAATATTTTTATACTTCATATTCATTGTCCGCAAAAGTTGCCTTTTCATTTTTTTGTTACATGTATTTTATACCTTCTTATTTGTCACTTGGCAAAGAATAGTTAAGTTTACAACGTAAGATTCACAGGATCGCTTAGCCTTTATTAACGGGCTGATTTTTGGTACTGTATTATAGAGGTGAAGCTCCAAAGTTTGTCGAGCCCTTAAAAGATGCAGAGCTTATTGAAGGAACTACCGCTGAATTAACCGTCACTGTAACTGGTACACGACATATCCATGTTACCTGGTACCGTGAAAATGTGCAAATTGTTTCAGACAAACGACACACATTCGCGATGGACGGGGATACCCATATAATGCGAATTTCACCAGTGACGTTTGAAGATGAATCTATGTATTACAAAGTGGTGGCAGAAAACGCCTTTGGGGAAGATTTTTGTGATGCTGAAGTCATTGTTGAAGGTATACTTTTTATGTATATATTATTTATACTTAGGGTTTGCTTGCTTAAAAACAAACTAACTGCAACAATTCTTGTCAGTTTATATTCTGAGAACCTGAAGTGGTTTAACAGGTGTCATATTTGCGTATCGGACGTATGCCCGTTTGAAACTCGCCAAAGATGTTAGTTCTCTGTACGCACTCGTTGATAATTATTTTCGTATATCTTTAGGAAAGGAAATAGTTAAAGAAGAGCCTGAGAAAATACTTGAAAGTGCACCTGTAAACGGTACTATATCGAATGCCTTACAAACCTGTTATACACTTTCTTAGTCAAATGAAACTTTGACCATATATTTCACTAACTGATGTGTTATGCATTTGCATTGAAGCTCCTACTTTAATCAGACCACTTCCGGAGGAAACAGAGGTCTTGGAAGGCGATTCTGTGCGTCTCGAGTGTGAAATCGCTGCTGGTCCAAATCCAGACGTTTCTTGGTTTAAAGACGACGAACCGTTAACAGAAGATGATAAAGTTGCATTTGAAGACGAGGGTGACGTTCATGCGTTAGTTATCCAGCTTGCTGAAGAAGATGACGAGTCTGAGTACAAATGCGTGGTGACTAATGCCGTGGGAAGTGTTGAAACGAAGGGAGAAATCGTGATAGAAGAAGGGATGGCATTACCTGTTATCAAGGAAGGACTAAAGAGCATCGAAGTTCAAAAAGGTTATTGTTTTGTGTATATCTTTAATGTTATTAGCTGGTAGATAATCAAAGCAAACAACAAATGACAACAGTAATGAACACACGCTCACAAACCACAAACAAAGAATATTGAAAATGACTATCATTTCAAACCAAATAATTTTTTTTTAGTGGAAACGCTTTTTGCGGTTGTATTTGATGACAAAACATTTTAAAAGGCATTTTAGGTCCCCAATCATAGCATGAATGCAGACAGGGCGCATGACAGGAAAAATGTATATAACATAAAAAGAAAAAACAAACTTTCTGTTGTTGGCACTTTAAAACATTAGGAAGTTTGTACACAGTTTTTCAAGTCTATTTTGTTCTTTTTTCAGGTGAAATTGTCAAGTTTGACATTCGAGTCATCGGAAAGCCCGAGCCAGTTGTGGAATGGTTCAAAAACGGCAGTCAGATACAAGATGAAGGAAGGTACATTATCATTGATGAGGTCGACGATCAAGACAAGGAACTGTTTTCATTAGTCATCGAAAAGTGTGATTTGGACGACGACGCAGAGTATATGGCAGTTGCAATGAATGAAGCTGGTAAAGACTCGACTTCATGTCATTTGGCTGTAACACAAAAGTCAATCACCGAGGAAATAAAGGAAGTTGAGGAGCCGGTTCTAGAGAGGGGTACAGATGATACCATGGATGCTGCTATTCCAGGTAAACTGCTTATTGCAAATGCCTACTAGTCTTTTCTTGCAAGAGACTAACGTTCAATTGATTTGTTTCATAAGTTATTTTTTATATTATTTTTATGTTTGTATTATATTGTAGCTCCTACACTAATCAGACCTCTTCCAGAGGAAACGGAGGTCTTGGAAGGTGATTCTGTGCGTCTTGAGTGTGAAATCGCTGCTGGTCCAAACCCAGAAGTCTCGTGGTTTAAAGACGACGAACCGTTAACAGAAGATGATAAAGTTGCTTTTGAGGACGAGGGTGACGTTCATGCGTTAGTTATCCAACTTGCTGAAGAAGATGACGAGTCTGAGTACAAATGCGTGGTGACCAATGCCGTGGGAAGTGTCGAAACGAAAGGAGAAATCGTGATAGAAGAAGGGATGGCATTACCTGTTATCAAGGAAGGACTAAAGAACATCGAAGTTGAAAAAGGTTATTGTTAACAATAGGTTAACAGCGTCGAAGTGTTCATCATAATTATCAAAAGCATGCTTCAAAAACATTTAACGGGAACAATGATGCAAACAAACGTAGATAATCCAGGAAGAAAGGATGAACGGAAAAAGTTTGATTTAACTATCATTAAAGGGCTACTTGGACGAAAATTGCGAAACATTAGAAAAGACTTGGAAATCAAATAGAACTATCCATATGGGTCTAATAACCATAAAGCAACAGATTTTAAGAAGATATTAATACAAATCCTTAATAATTTGGGCAAAAMATGTTCGAGTAGATGACGTCATTTACTCCATCCTTTTGTTTTTCCATCTTTTGAATCAAAATTTCTCTGATGTGGGACAATTCCAAAACAAAGATTTCCCGCAATTGCTTTTAATAGATATATGTGAGTCATATATTTGTATTGCTTGAAGTTTTGAAATAAGGCCATTTTCATGCAAGTAGCACTTTAAAGAAAAGACTTTCTTTTGTCAACCGTCCAGGAAACGCTCAGTTAGAACGTTATTATATGTAGAAAGTCCTTTTCCTTTAATTTCCATTTTTCGCTTTCAGGTGAGATCGTCAAGTTTGACATTCGAGTCATCGGGAAGCCCGAGCCAGTTGTGGAATGGTTCAAAAACGGCAGTCAAATACAAGATGAAGGAAGGTACATTATCATTGATGAGGTCGACGATCAAGACAAGGAACTGTTTTCATTAGTCATCGAAAAGTGCGATTTGGACGACGACGCAGAGTATATGGCAGTTGCAATGAATGAAGCTGGTAAAGACTCGACTTCATGTCATTTGGCTGTAACACAAAAGTCAATCACCGAGGAAATAAAGGAAGTGGAGGAGCCGGTTCTAGAGAGGGGTACAGATGATACCATGGATGCTGCTATTCCAGGTAAACTCTTCCTGGTTATTACAAATTCCTACAAGTATATTCTCACAAAAGTTTCAGAATTAAAGTATAATTTGTTTGTTTGTTGTTATTGTTGTTTTTTTAATGCATTTTTCCGTCTATAATGTAGCTCCTTCACTAATCAGGCCACTTCCGGAGGAAACAGAGGTCTTGGAGGGCGATTCTGCACGTATCGAGTGTGAGATCGCTGCTGGTCCAAATCCAGACGTTTCTTGGTTTAAAGACGACGAACCGTTACAAGAAGATGATAAAGTTGTTTTTGAAGACGAGGGTGACGTTCATGCGTTAGTTATCCAGCTTGCTGAAGAAGATGACGAGTCTGAGTATAAATGCGTGGTGACCAATGCCCTGGGAAGTGTTGAAACGAAGGGAGAAATCGTGATAGAAGAAGGGATGGCATTACCTGTTATCAAGGAAGGACTAAAGAGCATGGAAGCCGATGAAGGTAATAAAATTTCACATGAATGTAGCTTTATTTCTAAGTCTCACCTTTTCATTTTATTGCTTTTAGGTGACATCGTTAAGTTTGATATACGTGTTATCGGAAAACCTGAGCCTATGGTCGAATGGTTTAAAGACGGCAAGCAAATAGAAGACGAAGGAAGATTCGTTGTCATTGATGAGGTAGACGAACAGGACAAGGAGCTGTTTTCGTTGTTAATCGAGAGATGCAAGCTGGAGGACGATGCTGAGTACATGGTGGTTGCAATGAACGAGGCTGGTAAAGATACAAGCACCTGTCATCTTTGTGTTACACGAAGAACTGTTCCTGAAGAATTCAAGGATGAATTGGAGGAGGTTGTGTAAAACCCTTTGAATATCATATATCGATTTTAATTGTAGTCAATATTACTATCCAGTATAAATGTTAAGCGATTTATTGAGGTGCATGTGCTGTCCGATTTCCTAATTTATTCATATTAATGTATAATATTTGATTATTTCCTCTCAGATTCCTCTCGAAGCTTCTCAAGGTGACGAAGTTGTGATGACTGTGCCCCTACATGGCCATCCAACCCCAGCTGTAGAATGGTTCTATGACGAAAAGCCAGTCGAACCTGATGATAGGATGGACATATCTCAAGACGGTGAGTTTGCCAAAGGAATCATTCCTAAAGTCGTACCACAAGATTCTGGGACTTACAAGTGCACTGTGACGAGCCTAAAGGGTACTACAACAAAGAAATTCTTATTGGTCGTTGAAGGTATGTAATATTCAAGAAATGAGACAAAATAATGCAATTAATATGATTGAGGTTTATTTCTCGAGGCCTTTTTTATACGTCCATTTGTATATGTGAGTGTCAACTACTTCGAAATGTCCTTCGTTGTCACGTTAACATCAATAACAACATATGAGTTACCATTTCGTCTACCTTTCAGGTTCCCAAGCCCCAGAAATAGTACCAGAATCAAGTCTTGACGTCCAAGCTCAAGTCCCTGCCATTACCGAAACGTTGGCACCCAATCAGAAAGCTCCAGTTTTTCTTGAAATGATTAAACATGTCGAAGTCTTAGAAGGAGAAGAAGCTAGGTTTGATGCTCATGTTGATGCAGTTCCAGAACCAACGATTGATTGGTACAAAAATGGTGTACTTATCCCAGATAAGGGTCGATTTGTTCACATTGATGCTGTAAAGGAAGAGGTATTCACACTGGTGATCGAAAATACCGAGCTAACGGATGCGGGAGAATATACATGTATCGCGATCAATGACGTTGATGAGGTCAGTTGTACAGCTATGTTGACAGTCAAACCAAACGAAATAGCTCCAGACTTCACGAAAGAACCCAAAACATCCAAATTTGACATAAATACTGGTAAAGATGTAACTCTGGACATTACGGTGTCTGGAAAACCTGAACCGGAAGTAGAATGGTATAAGGACGATAAACCAATCAAGAAGACCAAGCACGTAGATATAGTGGTGAAAGATGACGAACACACACTGCGTATTCGAGGTGGAAAACCAGATGACTCTGGTGTTTACAAGTGCGTTGCGAAGAATCCTGCAGGAACAGCAACGAGGACTTATGAAGTTAACATCAAAGGTATAATACCATATTTATTATTTAACTAATTTACTGTCAAGGAATGCAACTCTTTAAAACAAATTGTGTGTAACTAGTGATTGATGCCCATACGGAGTGATATTTAAGTTGCTTATTAGTATTGTTCTTTTAATAGACCAACGAGAGGCTCCAGTATTTGTTAAGAAACTTCAACCATCAACTGTTCGAGAAGGAGATCGCTTAAAGTTGGAAACAAAAGTGAGCGGTAAACCTCAACCGACTGTAAAGTGGTACAAGGACGACAAAATGGTTGTGGAGGATAAGCGTGTTACTGTGAACACCGATGGCGAGAACTCTACCTTAACAATCAAACCAACAAAGGTTGAGGACAAGGGAATATACAAATGTGTAGCTACAAACGACAGTGGCTCTGTTACTATTACTGCTGACGTTTTAGTCCGTGGTGAATTAAAGAGACCGGAGTTCAAAGAAAGAATAATACCACTTCTTGTCACAGAAAACGAGACAGCACGTTTAAATGTACGTGTTCAAGGTAATCCAATGCCAACTGTAGAATGGTATAAGCACAACACAAAAATCAAGGATGAAGGTCGCTTTAAATTGATCGATGATGAAGAAGAAGATTTGTTTTCACTTGTTATCAGTGATGCACGCAAAGAGGATGCTGACATGTATAAATGCGTCGCTGTCAACGAAGCTGGTAAATCCACCTGCACAGCTGAACTGTCTGTGAAAGAAATACTCTTTGCTCCTAGTTTCGTAGGCGGTACTGATACCGTCCCTGTTAAAACTACAGAGGGCGATGAAGTAAACCTGACCGTCGAAGTCAAAGGAAAACCAAAACCTAAAGTTGAATGGACGAAAGATGGAAAGCCTGTTCGAGAGAAGAAAGGATTGGACATCAAAACTAAAGATATTGAATCGACTATTGTTCTTAAAGCTGCCAAGCCTGAAGACAGTGGACTCTACAAATGCACTGCTAAAAACACACAAGGAACGACGTCGCGAGAATTCGATGTCATTGTCGAAAGTAAGTCCTGCTGTAGTCAACTAATTGTATCGCATTTGTGAACCTATTCTCTTTGTTATCTTCATTTTATTTTTATTTTTAACAGAAAATATTAAATTAAGCTAATGTGTAGATAATTGCTCCAAAGCATTAGCGCTTTAGTGGACAAGTATATGATCAATGATTGATTTTATATTGTATTTTTTATTCATTCCAGAGGCAAAACCCAAAGGTGAAGCTCCAGAGTTCATTCAACCTTTAACGACTGTCGAGACAATTGAAAAAGAGAAAGCGCGACTTGAATGTAAATTCAAAGGAAAACCAACTCCCATAGTCGAGTGGTACAAAGATGATGACAAAAACAAGCTAAAACCGTCAAACAGACTAAAAATTACAGTGGAAGAAGACACTGCAATTTTGGAATTCAAAGAAACAAGACTAGACGATGAAGGCATGTATAAATGTGTTGTAAAGAATGATTTGGGAACTTCATCATCGGAAGCTGAAATTCTTGTAGATGAAGCCGATGAAAAACCTCGTCTTACATCTCCACTAAAAGACTTGATTGTCCCTGAGAACGAAGAAGCACGATTTGATGTTAGAGTTTCCGGAAAGCCAGTGCCCATTGTCGAATGGTTTAAAGACGATGAAAAGATTAAAGACGAAGGCCGTACGATAATTGTTGATGACGAAGAAGAGGATCTGTGTTCGTTGATTATTGGAGACTTAAAGCCTGAAGATAGCGGCGTTTACAAATGTGTCCTCCGTAACACGGTTGGTGAAATTTCCTGTCAAGCAAAACTGCAAGTAAAAGAAAAAACGGTCGCTCTCGAGTTTGTTAGTGGAGATGAGTCCGGCCCAATCACAATCGTGGAAGACGACGTCTTACATTTGGAGGTAAAAGTAGAAGGTAAGCCTCGTCCTGAAATAACGTGGAGTAAAGATGGAAAACCTCTCAAAGAAAGCAAGACAGTCGCTATTGAAGAGAAGGATGACATTTCCCGTATTGACATCAAAGTGTCGTTGGACGATTCAGGAAATTACAAATGTGAAGCAAAAAGTGATGCAGGGACCGCCAGTCGAACGTATGATGTAGTTGTTGAAGGTTAGTGTATCATAACGAACACTGATTACTGCTTACTTTGAATTAATAGACATGTTTTTATAACTTGTATAGGCATTTGCTAGTCTAGGGTGCATGGATAGTGTTTTCAATCCTATAAAACGTTCATGCATTTCACCTGATGCTAATGATTTCAATACAAATGCTTTATCACTTTAAATGGTGGGTCGTTTCACGTTGGTAATTGTAGATGGACTGATCTTTTTAAGTATCTCTTCGACTACACAATACCGAACATGTACAAGTTGATAATTCCTTGTTTATTCTTACGTTACAGCTAAGAAGCCGGTGGGAGAAGCTCCGAAAATCGTCCAAGAACTGAAAGAGATGGAGACGATGGAAGGAAAGCCTATTAAACTTGTTTGCACATTCAACGACACACCGAATCCGACTGTGGAATGGTTCAAAGGAAAATTACCAGTTAAGGAGAACAGGCGTGTCAAAATAGAGCGTGACGAAAACTCCTCAACATTGGTTATCAAAGAAGCTCGTTCAGACGACATAGGCGAATATAAATGTGTAGTTCGTAATGACTTGGGTTCGGCATCAACGTCAAGTAAACTGAATGTGATCATCCCGAAAAGGCCAGACTTCAAGGTTAAGCTGCGACCGTTAGACGTTACCGAGGGCGACCAGGCTCGACTTACTGTAAAAATTGATGCGCTACCAAAACCAACTGTACAATGGTACTGTGGAACAAATAAGATCGAGGAAGGTGGACGATACGAGATAATTGAGGAGCCTGACACTGATCTATATACATTGGTTATAAACGATGTAACACGTGATGATACGGCTACTTACAAATGTGAGGCTTCAAATGAAGCGGGAAAATCAACCTGTCGTGGCGAACTTACTGTCAAGGAACGTCAGTACATGCCAGAGTTTACCAGCCCTGAAATCGATACACCATTAACCATCCAACAAGGTGATGAACTGAAAATCGATATGACCATCAAAGCAAATCCCAAGGCTGACGTAAAATGGTACAAGGATGGTAAGCCCTTAAAGAATACAACTAAACTGGATGTACGTTCGCGAGGTGACACGTACAGTATCGCAATCTACAGCACTAAACCAGAAGATACTGGACACTACAAATGTGAAGCGCGTAATAAACTGGGCGTGTCAGAAAGAACATTTGACGTTAAAGTGGATGGTAAGTGCTAATTTTCTTTCTTAAAGTCATGAGTCACCAAGCCAAAGTAGGTATCTTATACTAATGTGACTATACCAGTCTCCTCAGTTTGACGTTATCCTAGAGTTATCAAACACAGCTATAATTTATTGCATGCAAAGTTTTATTGTCTTCATATAATATTATAAAAAGAGTTAAGTATACATCTCTGTCTTTTTATACCCTCAGTGCCCAAACCAAAAGGTGAAGCTCCAACCTTACTTGCTGACCTAAAACCAATAGAAACCACAGAGGGTGAACCAATCAAGCTTGTCTGCAAAGTTAAAGGCAAACCAGAACCACAAGTCGAGTGGTTTAAAGATGATAAACCTGTTGTAGAAGACAAGCATCTTAAAGTAGCCTATGATGGAGAAGTAAGCACTTTGAGCATCAAAGACACTATCTTAGATGATGAAGGCGACTACAAATGCGTCGTCACTAATGACCACGGATCCGTTTCAACTATGGCTGAAGTTTTAATAAATGAAAAAACAGAACCTGAAAAACCAGCATCAAAACCCGAGGTTGTGGAAGAAAAACCGATTAAGGAAGAAGTCAAACCTAAGGATGTCGAGACTAAACCGACCAAAGAAGTTGCAAAAGAAGAGAAACCTACGAAACCAGTGATAACATCAGTGCTTAAAGATGTAGAACCAGAGGCTGGAACTACAGCAAAATTCACTGTTGATGTCGAGGGAACTCCATTGCCCGAGATTGATTGGTATAAAGATGACAAAGTTATCGAGGACACGGGTAGATTTATAATCATAGATGATGAAACAGATAAAGGAGTTTCTTCGTCACTTGTAATTGAGAATGTCCAGCCAGAGGATTCTGGTGTGTATAGTGCAGTGGCATTCAACGATGGAGGAGAAACAACGACCAAAGCCGACCTTAAGGTAGCGAAACAACCCGAGGTGATAGAAGAGCCTGAAATTGCTGCTGAAGCAGAGCAAGAGGTTGAAGGTATTGTTTTTGATATGTATATTCTAATTTTCATTTCAAGTTCAATGGTGAATTTGCGATATATTATAAAGTTTATACATAAGAAAATATATAATGTTTTTAATATTCGCAAGAAATAAATGACAAAAACAGCTTAAAAATATATATGTAAGGGAATTTTTGTTGAGAATAAATTAAAAATCGGTTTTTATGTGGTTCGAATACTTTTTGTGCTTTTCAACTGGATATGTCTATTTATAGTTACACTGTAACAATTTCTCTGTATTATCTTTTTATCGGAAGTCAAATTTCATCAGCCAATCAGGCTGATGCTCAGAATGAAGAATATAAGCGACCTTTGCCCTTAGACCGTGATGCTTTGCGTGTAGGCCTTGTTTCGGTGAGCCACGCGAGTCTGGTTTTCACGGAGGGGCTTCTGTGTCTAGGTAATCTGTTGTTATTTTTCATTTATAATCGTAAGTGAGTAGTTATATTTTCAAATAATATTTTAACCGCATGAGAATATTATTACAACGTAAAATTAGATCGCAAGATTTATTTTTCATTTTGGAGTTAAATGGGCGGCTATCCTGTCTGGTTAGGAGGTTACACATAACGATTAAGGCTTGTCGTTTATTTGCGTAATGTTTAAGCTACTGTGAACGGATTTCATAAACTAAAACAAAATTATTTCAAATCATCCGTCATTTCTTACAAGTAATCGCTTTCATCAATTTTACTCCCTATTAATACAAAATTTTGCAACTTTATAGAAACAGATTTGTTTATTGAGGCTATTGAATGGAAGCCCATATCATGTGTTGTAAATGTTTATAGATTCACGTTGAACAATACTACAAATTTGTAATTTCAGTAGATAAATCATTTAATTGATCATAGAATAGTTATTGCTTTTAATTCAATTTTACGCATTTTTGCGTATATTTTTAATCTATATTATTAGATGTTTTATTTTCTCGACAAATTGATTATTTGATATATTTATAGATTTTGTCCAGATTATTTTATTTACAGTGTTTAGCCTATTAAGTATTTATGTTTTGTCGTTTTCTCTAAACCGTTCATCTTCTACTTTAAAAGCCGAGATGCCATTCGAGGGCGCACCTGAAATATTGGAGCCGTTGAAGCCAATAGAGGCTGTCGAGGACGAGAGTGTAACGTTGGAATGTAAGATCAAAGAAACTCCATCGCAAGTTGTAGAGTGGTTTAAGAATGGCGCAAAATTGAAAGAAAATCGTCGAGTGAAAACCGACTTGACTAATGGCATCGCAAAGGTAACCATCAAAGATCTCCGTACCGATGACAAGGGCGATTATAAGATCGTAGTCCGAAATGATTCCGGTAGTTCATCGTCTACTGCCAATCTAGTAGTCAAGGAACTTATAAGGCCAGAGTTCAAAGTTAAACTCAAAAATACAGATGCTTTTGTTGGAGACGACGTACGTTTTGAAGTTCAAGTCAAGGCTTTACCGAGACCTGTAGTCGAATGGTACCAAGGATCAACAAAGCTGTCGGGAGACAGGTACACAATGACAGTAGATGAATCAACTAACAAATACACTCTTGTAATTACCGATGCAAGGCTCGATGATGGTGGATCGTACAAATGTGTTGTCTCAAACTCAGCGGGAAAAGCTACAAATCGATGCGAGCTTAGTGTTAAAGAGAAACCGCTGACCCCAACATTCGAAGGCGATGAGCCAGGTCCATTGCATTTCCACCCTGGTGATGAGGTAAACATTAATGTTAAAATTAAGGCTAATCCCAAACCAGATGTGAAATGGTACAAAGATGGCAAACCCTTGAGAGACACAAGTAGAATGGACATCAGATCACGTGGTGACTCCTACTACATTGTAATTATGAGCGCGAAACTAGACGATACCGGGATATACAAGTGCGAAGCGAGTAATAAACTGGGCAAAGCATCCAGAACGTTTAATGTGACTGTACAAGGTAAGGTTATATCATTTTATTTATTGCGACAAATTTACTTTGGCCTTACACTAGAAAGAAACCTTCTTTAGTTACTAAACGACTTAAGTATGAGTGGTTTGTCAAAATCCATTTCTTTTTATATTTGTTTAGAACGCTTTTCTTTTCTTTTAGCGACCAAACCTATAGGAGATGCACCATCTCTAGATGGAAAACTTACGCCAGTCTCAGTCAATGTTGGAGAGGATATCAAACTTGTCTGCAAAGTGTCTGGAAAACCCGAACCAAAGATTGAATGGTTTAAGAACAGCAAACCTATTCAGCCAGATCACCGTATAAAGACAGACTATGACGGCAAAACCTGCACCCTGTACATCAAAAATGCAACTATCGACGATAAGGGGGAGTATGTATGTATGGCTTCAAACGACTTTGGGTCTGTTGAATCAGATGCTGATGTGAATGTCAAAGAGAAGGGCGAAAAACCTACCATTGTAGAGAAGCTGAAAGAGATCAAAGTGGATCTAGGAAACAAAGCAACCTTTAAGGTAGTTGCAAAAGGAAATCCAAAACCTGAAGTTGAATGGACGAAAGGCGATAAGACTATTGAAGACAAAGGTCGGTTTGTCATTGAAGACGATGAGGAGAATGGTGTGTTTAAGCTGATTATCGATGATGCTCAACCAGAAGATGCGGGCGTCTATAACTGTGTTGTATTCAACGAGATCGGCGAAACAACGACGTCAGCAGAATTGCATGTCATGAAATTGGAAGTAGTGCAACAGGTTACACCAGTTGAAGAAGGTCAGTACATTGCAAATCGTGTTGTTGTGTATATGAATGTACATGCAGTGGAGTAATCGCTTCTTTGAATGAATTGGCTCGAAATATCACAAATCAATGATCAACAATAAATTTGTAATTGAGTGGCGATTGCAACTTTGTGTGTAGTAATGGTATGCTGTGTTGTCCTTGGATGGCTATGACGGTAATTGTCGTTGTAATGTTTATCATTCGTGTTCATTGCCATTGTACTTTATTCATAAATCATATAATCTATCAATATGAAATTTACAATCTGGGACTATCATCGTACGTCGTCGTTAACAAGCAGAGGTAGGTTATAACACAATGCTGTAGAATGTTCTCATTTTATTTATTGTCCCATAGCATTTTTATACATATACAGCCTTTTGCAAAAATTATGAGAATTGTCTAAATATCTAAATATCATAATATCCATATCCATATATTGTCCGGAACACGCGGGTTTGCTAGAATAATTCATTGTTGACATCGAGAAAATGTTCAGAACTACGGATAAGTACGTCGCCAAAAAAAACTAAACAACAAAGACAAGGGACTAAGGGCATCGCGCGGGATCATGCACTTGATATTATGATATTTAGATATTTCAACAATTCTCATAATTTTTGCAAAAGGCTGTATTCTTATACAATATTTAAAAATTACAATATTACGGATAGTATTAAAGGTAATAACAACAGAACAGGCACAATGATCTATAATAGCAAGTAGATTATGTAGGAAAGAACCAGTCACAATGAAATAGTTCAACAACTCAGATAGCTGAGAGTCTTTCCAAGTACAGTTCTTAATCATCTACATTGTGCTCCACAACATTTAATTTTACTTATAGATGTTTTTTCAGCATTTCGTTAGTTAAATGGCTGCATGTCTTAAATCATCATTCATTCCTTTATGTCGTTATTATCAGCCAAGTGTAGAGTATTTTCTACATTCTATGATCGTTTTTATTCTCGTTCATTTTTCATGTTCATTTTTTTTGTCATTACACGGTACATACAATACTTCATTGTATATCACGTTTTTCAGTCATGGAAAATTGTATATCTTGGTACAGATGCTTACTTCATTTTGCGTCATGAAGACCCCTACATCTACATTTTATCATTACGTCGATGGACTCCATTCACAGATCCATTGGTTTTCACATCTGATTTTTTTCTATTTGTCTTTTTTGTCACTCAGTGGACATAAACAACAATTCATTGTTTGGTGGTGCTATGGTATTGTGGTTTTTGATAATTCTTTATTGAGAGTTCATATTGTCATGATTTGGACAACGCCTCATCGTATGATGGAACCGTCTTCACTTTTATTTTCGCTCATTTTTGTCATCGTGCGACGATTGAATTATCAATACGTTTTTTCTCATTTTATTTCATCTTCATTTTGTCATTTCGTTGGAAAACCTGACAACGCTTCTTCGTGGGATATTTTCATTACCAATTCCTTCTTGACTTTTTTTGCCATTACATTGGATGCATAACGCTGGATTGTGGACACTTTTAGTTTCATTCCAGGACGAATCATGGCACCGATGCTTTCAGGTCGTCCATTTTGCCTTACATCCATTTTGCGTTACACAGTTCTTGGCATGTACATATTGTCCTTACACGTCAGTAATCTCATCTCAAAGGTCGGTTTGCACATTTTTACGCATGTATCTGAGCGTAACATGCCCCTTGTTCGTAGTTATTTACAATAGTATTTTGACATTTAAGAACCGATCATCGTGGAGGAAGGACAAGAAGTTGATTTGAGTATCAAAGTACAAGGAAAATACGTTCCAGATTCTGTTTTCTGGTACCAAAATGGCTCCGTTGTGTACGGAACTCCGACAAGGAAGATGTGGTCTGAAGGTAGACGCTACTATCTTACTCTCTGTGAGGCGTCTTTAGGTGATGCTGGTCATTACCGATGTGAATCAACCACAAAGCTTGGAACTACGATTAGCAACTTTTTTATCAAGGTTGTAGGTATGTCACTTTCTTTGTTTGGAGCTTAAACCAATAAAGCCTTATACAGAAAGGATTAGTCCATCTCCAGTAATTATATAAAAAAAATTAATAATTTTCAGTGTTACAGTGAAAATTGTTGTATCGCAATTTCGTGAAACCATTGTTATTTGCAGTGATCTTGGGTGTCGGGCTTAAACTCGTTCATTCATTGGTTGATATATAGTAAGCTCCTCCCCCAAGGCGCAGAAAATCCCAGCGATTTCTCTTGAATCTCGATGTAACGGTTTCTGTATCTTCTTGTGTTTTTCTTTTAAGCTGTACAGCGTAAGGACCCCCCTGTCTTTATAAGAACTATCAAGCCAGTTGTTGTTACTGATGGGAATGACATCAAGTTAGTTTGTATTGTAAGTGGTTCACCAGAACTAATTATTGAATGGTTTAAAGATGAAGTGAAAATAGAGACAGCGACCGACCGTCGCATAAAATTTCACTTCCATGATGGTATGGGTACTCTTGTCATTAGGAAATCAAACACTGATGACCAGGGAATGTATAAGTGCATAGTTCGTAATGACTACGGAACTGCAAGGAGCAGTGCAAACGTTGTTGTTGAGAAAAGGTTGATTAAGCCGCATGTGACTCAGTGGCTCAACAATCTGGTAATAACCAAAGGCGAAGATGCCATTTTTGAGGTTGGTATCACTGGCTTTGAAAAGCCCACTCTTGAATGGTTCCATGGTGTAACAAAGCTTTCTCCCGGAGGAAGGATCCAAATGAGCGAAAAGGGAGAAGAGCTTTATCTTTTAAAGATCTCTGATATCACTGATGCTGATTATGGAACATACCAGTGCGTAGCTTCCAATGGTGCTGGTAAGGCGTTTTCACAGGCCATTCTTCAAGTGGTCGAAAAGCAATTAGCACCAGCGTTCGAGCAGAGAGATGTTCAAGAGACCCTTGTGTATCGCCAAGGAGATGAAATCAACCTTGTCATGACAATCCGAGGCTATCCCCCTCCTATGGTCACATGGTATAAAGATGGTAAAGTCCTGTATGGAGGCAGGGGAGTGAACATCCAATCCCGCGGTGATTCCTATTTCCTTGTCATAAACAAAGCTTTAGTGGACCATACAGGTACCTACAAGTGTGAGGCAAGAAATACTCATGGAACGACCTTCAGGACCTTCGACATTAGAGTAGAAGGTAAACCATCAATCAATGATTTCATTTTATTCTATTTTTATTGCTATGATTGCACATCCTTCCAAATTATTAAAGCTTGGCTGTTTTGAAATTAATGATCATTCTTGTTCGTATCATTCTTCTTCAGCTGAACGCCAAGGAGAAGCGCCGGTGATGGCCACAGAGCTACACCCAGTCACTGTAACAGAAGGCGAAAGTATCAAGCTCGTATGTAAAGTTTCTGTGGAGCCTCGTCCTACTGTGAAATGGTTGAAAGATGGCAAGCCACTTGATTTCGACGATAGAATGTTTGATGACTATGATGGGCAATTCAGTACTCTGGAAATTGACCGAACAAAAATGAGCGATCGAGGTATTTATACTTGTGACGTTCGGAACGAGTTTGGCTCAGCACAGAGTAAAACAGAACTCATTGTTAAAAAGAAAACTTCGAGGCCAGAGCTAATTGGTCAAATAATGGATTCGGAGGCATTCGAAGGGGAACAAGCAAGTTTTAATATAGAGTTTATTGGTGATCCCAAACCTGTGGTAGAATGGTTTCGTGGCTCAGAGAAGATCGATCATGGTGGCCGTTACAAGGTTTCTACCAAAGATAACTCTTATACTTTGACAATATGTGATTTAACCCGCAAAGACTCTGGAACCTACACATGCATTGCCTCCAACGAGGCTGGAAAAACCACCCTTCGATCATATTTAGGTGTGAAAGCAAAAAAGATTGATTTTAACTTTGATGTCGAAGAGCGAAATAAGATCAGTTGCGTTAAAGGACAAGAAACCACGTTAAGTGTAACAGTTGACGGAAATCCTGAAATAAATTGGTACAAAGACGGAGAACGTATTTTGGAGTCAAGCCATTTCTTCTTTAAGAGGAGAAATGATACTTACATTTTGGTTATCAAAGGAGTCTCCTCCGAAGATAGCGGTACTTATACATGTGAGATTAAAACCACCGCTGGTCCTGTATACCAGTCATACCAGATAAACGTCAAAGGTAAGTCTGTAGAATAATGAAATATTTGTACATTTATATACATAATGTGATAAGTATTTTTTTTCTCAACATTTTTTATGTTCTTTTGTTCCAGACCGCGGCGAACCCCCAGTTTTCACAAAACCTCCAGAAGTCATTCAGTCATCTGATGGAGAGCAGATTACACTCGTGTGTCACGTTTCTGTAAAGCCAGAGTGGTTTAAAGATAATGTTCTTCTTAAACCCAGTGATCGCATTTCTATTGATTTCGACGGAAAACAAAGCACCTTGATAATAAGAAAGCCAACGACAGAAGATCAAGGTACTTATGTGTGCATTTCCAAAAATGAATTCGGAGAAGCCAAGAGTACGACAAATGTAATAGTGAAAAAACCTGTTGCCAAACCTGAAGTTGTTACTGAAATGAAAGAAGCAGTTGGAGTTGAAGGTGGCGAGGCGAGGTTCGAAGTAAAATTCGACGGCAATCCAAGAGTTGAGTGGTTCCATGGATACACCTTGCTATCAAACAAAGGAAGATATTCCATATCTGAAAAGAATGGAATTTACACTTTAGTCATCAAAGACGTCATCCCAAGTGATTCAGGTGTATATAAGTGCGTGGCGACTAACGAGGGTGGTAAAACAACTCTGCTATCTAATCTAACTGTGAAAGAACCGCAAATATCACTTCAGTTTGAACCAAAGACTGATGTTACCAAGAAAGAGGAAGTGACCTTAATGACATCGTCAATGGAAACAAAACAAAAACGCCCTTCCGAGGAATTTCATTTCACGATTGGCTCTCGAACTGAAGGCGATTCGAAACCTTTCGTCGTTGACAAACA